ATTCAAGGTCATTCTCGGCCGGGCAGTGGTGGCGCATGCCTTTAATCCCAGCACTCGGGAGGCAGAGCCAGGCGGATCTCTGTGTGTTTGAGGCCAGCCTGTTCTACAGAGCTAGTGCAGGACAGGCTCCAAAGCTACAGAGAAACCCTGTCTCGAAAAACAAACAAACAAAAAAGGTCATTCTCAGCTCTATAGGGAGTTCTAAGCCAGCCTAGGCTAGCCAAGATACTCTCTTTAAACAAAAAATCAACAACAACCAAAAACAAACCGCCAAATTAACCCGTCAAACAAAACTTCAGTTCCTTACTTGTACAGCAAGGATAAAACAAAAACCAAAAGACTAATGCTTCGATTTTTGACATCATTTACTGTAGCTGATGGTTTCTATTGTTTCATTATCTTTTACCCTCTCCAAATCTTGATTATGTTAGAGTTTTTGTGAACTGTTGGTAAATGAATCTACCACTATGATCTTGAGCAAACAGGATACAGCCTGGCAGTAAGGCCTAGCATATGAAAGGCCCTGGGTTTGATCCCATGCACCACAAAACCAGAAAACATACCCTGAATATTTTGAACATCACTGAAATACAATATAAGTTAAGCCATTTTTTTTTCCTCTGTGGTTCTCCACCAAAGTAACTCAACTATAGTACTGTTTGAACTCAGACTTGACTAGTGCAACTAGAAAACAATCATTTTGCTATTGTCAAAAGCAAAAAAAAAAAAGTGTCATCTAAGATAGGCATCTGGAGGAGGAGAAGGGAAATAGCTTGTCCGCTTGTGGCAAGTTGACAAGAACACAAAGATCCACAAAGCGCAGCAGAAAAGCAAATGTGTTAGAATTCACAGCTTTTCATCTTTAACAATGCATTTACTGTAGTAACACAGAACAGATACACTGAAAATGGACAAAAAAATCTAAAGGCGCCTCATTGATTCTGTTAGGAGCTCTGTTTAAAAGACTGACATGAAACATTTTGGGTTTATCATTGTTTAAAACTTATTTTGCTGTTACTGCTTTATATTATAATCTAGGATCTCACACAAGTGCTCTGTTACTGAGCTATATCCCCTCAGCTCTTCCTAATTTTCAACTCAATAAAGAAGTATTGAGTATGATCTGGATACCTGGAAAAGTAGTCAATACTGGGAGTTAGAGATGCTCTAGTTATACTTTCTAGCTTGGAAGATTTTATAGTCCAAAAGAGAAGAAAAGCATGCAGGAGAGTTAAATGCCAAGAATTATGACAAAAGAGAAAGTGATTTTGAGGACCACTCCTTGGTGTTATTCTACTTCTCAATGAAACCTTGCTCGCCCTTCAAAAATTATACCAAAAAGCCATATGTGCACATTATGGTGACACATGCTTATAATTGCTGGCACTCACATGCTCAGATGGGAGGATCATGAGTTCAAGACCAGCCTTTGTATAAGAAAAGGTTACAGTCGAGGCCAGCCTGTTCTCCAAAGCGAGTTCCAGGAAAGGCGCAAAGCTACACGGAGAAACTCTGTCTTGAAAAACCAAAAAACCAAAAAAAAAAAAAAAAGTTACAGAAATAAAAAAAAAACCAATAACTTAAAATATTAGCATAAAACAGAATATTAGTGTTTACAATCTAGAATTTGGTGGCTGGAGAGATGGTTCAAGTTGTAAGAATGTTTGCTACACAAGGACTCGAATTTTTGCACCCCTAGAACCTGAGTTAAAATTCATGGCCCCCAGAACTTGTAAACAGAGACTTGAAGATCACTGGGGCTTACTGGACAGCCAGCCTAGCTCCAGGTTCCGTGAGAGACCACGTCTCCAGGGAGTAGGCAAAGAGTGATAAGAACAGATACTTGGTATCCTCCTCTGGCCTCCACACTGGCACGTCCACATTTGTCTTCCTGTACATACACTGCACTCACACACGCCACAAACATTTAATATCTTAGCATTCCTTTTCTTCCTCCTCTCAACAAGTTTTTGGTGTAGTATTGATGAAACTCAAAAGGTTTGTTCACCATTTGAGTAAACTGTAAAGTAAAAAAGCAAACCGAACCAAACAACAGAGGGAAACAGATCCTCTGTGCCTTGTGCTGTCTTTGTTGTTATTTCCTTTGCTTGGCAGAACATCTTGTATGGATGTTATTTTATTATTATTAATAATAATATTTTGAGTTTTCTCCAGACAGTTTTCTGTGTAGCTCTGGTTGTCATCGAACTGGCTCTGTAGACCAGGCTGGCCTCAAACTCATAGAGATCCGCCTGCCTCTGCCTTCTGAGCGCTGGGATTAAAGGCATGCACCATCATGGCCCTAGAAAAAATTTAATCAACTTGACTATATGTGAAATTCACTCAAAACTGTTTAAAACCTTTTCTTTTTGAGGCAGGGGTTCTCTGTGTATCCCTGGCTGTCCTGGAACTCACTCTGTAGACCAGGCTGGCCCCAATTAAAAATTAAAAACATGTACCACCATAGCCCAACCTGTTCCAAACTTTTAATTTTTTTTGAAACAAACTTTAAATAAGCTCTGAACTAGGTCTGGGGCCAAAGTCAGTAGTACAGCAAATGACTCACCTTTGTACCACACAAACTTTAAAATAAGACATAAAAACTCTAAACTAGAAAAATATTGGTTCTTTTCTAGTAAAAGCCATAGCCCTTCATATCAAATAAATACTTTATTTTTCATGTATACTTGGCATAGTTATCTCAATTTGAGTAGTTTTATTCAGTTTTTAGAATTTTAGTTCAACATTTCTGAGCCAGAATTCTGTTGGATTCACATGGTGTTTCTATAGCCAGGTGGTGTTGCTCCTATCTTTAATCTCAGAAGTTGGAAGGTAAGGGCAGGTGGATAGTTTTATTTCCTTTCCTTTTTAGTTCAAACTATAATACTGATGATTTTAAAACACCTGCAAGAGATGAAACATATATAATGTTAATAGGTATATCTATTTTAATTGAACCAAAAAATGTATTCAACAAAGTTTACTGAAATCACATAAATTTTGGTCATCGAGATGACTCAGGGGGTCAAAGCCCCATCATTAAGCCTGACAACCTAAGTTCTATTTCCTGAACCTATATGGTATTTAGAGCACATCTGACTTCTACAAGTTGTCCCTGGGGTTCCACATGTGCACCCCCACAATAAATAAATAAAATGAAACAATATCACATACATTTTAAGACTAATTGTAAGTGCTTTTAGTTAATTTGGTACCATACACACAAAATACAAACACCAGTATGGCTATAAATATACACGTTGACACAATGGCACACAAGTTCCTATGTATATATAAATACAAAAATAAAAATCAGGTATGTGGGGGTTTGAATGAGCCTATCCCAATAGGCTCATATGTTTGAATGCTTGGTCCCCAGTTAGGGGAGCTGTTTAGGAACTGTTAGGAGGTGAGGCCTTATTGCAGCAGGTATGGCATTGTTGGAGGAGGTGAGTCACTGCGGGTGGGCTTCGAGGGTTTAAGCTCATGCCAGGCCCAGTGTCTAATCAAATTGTACTCAAACGACATAAAAATTCCCAAGAAATCGCACCACCAAAAATATAGTATATAGAAATGTGAGAAAACAGAAACAAACACAACTACCACCACCACCACCACCAAAGCAAAGTAAAACAAACCTCACTAAACCAAATGAAAAAAATCTAATGCAGTTAAAATGCTATCTCAGCAACATATTTAGTAGCTGCAAATTGGGCTGGTTACTACCCACATTTTTGTTTGGTAATATTTTGAGCCATCTGCTTAAAAATGTTTCATAACCTAGATAATTCCTTAGAGAAATAGTAAAAAAAAAAAAAAAATTCTTCGAGTCCAAATAGGACATAAAGAGAAAGCTGTCTGTATGAGAATAATTACAAATGGGAACTGCAAATTTAAGCATTATACAGATGATATGAAAATATATATTTCTCTCTCTCTCTCTCTCTCTCTCTCTCTCTCTCTCTCTCTCTCTCTCTCTCTCTCTCTCTCTCTTTTTTGGTTTTTCGAGACAGGGTT